ATGTGGGCGCGGGCACTGGGGCCTTCGGTGGAGCTCCCTATGGAGCCACGAAGCGTGTGAGGGGTGTGCCGAAATTGGTGTGGGTGACGCATGCGGGCGCGGGCACTGGGGCCTTCGGTGGAGCTCCCTATGGAGCCACGAAACGTGTGAGGGGTGTGCCGAAATGGGTGTGGGTGACGCATGCGGGCGCGGGCACTGGGGCCTTCGGTGGAGCTCCCTATGGAGCCACGAAGCTTGTGAGGGGTGTGCCGAAATGGGTGTGGGTGACGCATGCGGGCGCGGGCACTGGGGCCTTCGGTGGAGCTCCCTATGGAGCCACGAAACAGTGAGGGGGAATTTTGTGCCGAAATTGGTGTGGGTGACGCATGCGGGCGCGGGCACTGGGGCCTTCGGTGGAGCTCCCTATGGAGCCACGAAACGTGTGAGGGGTGTGCCGAAATGGGTGTGGGTGACGCATGCGGGCGCGGGCACTGGGGCCTTCGGTGGAGCTCCCTATGGAGCCACGAAGCTTGTGAGGGGTGTGCCGAAATGGGTGTGGGTGACGCATGCGGGCGCGGGCACTGGGGCCTTCGGTGGAGCTCCCTATGGAGCCACGAAACAGTGTACTGGGTGGGTGAAGAGGAGAGGAGAAGAGGAGAGGAGAGGAGAGGAGAGGAATGATGATGATAATGATGATGATAATGATGATGATGATGATGACGATGATGATGGTGATGATGATGATGATGATGATGATGGCAGGAGGGAGGGGGCAGCGGGAGGAGGAGTGAACGCGGGGCGCTGTCTCTTCAAAACGAGGACCCAACACCACAGGATGGTTGGGAAATATCCGTGCGACAGCCAGGTCGTGCTCGTCGTCGCCGTAATCGTCGGAAGACACCAACGGTAGATAGTTACTCCTGACAACCATGACATGGCTGAGAGGCCCAAGGAACAACTGATGTTTCAGGCGATTTGGCAAATTTTACTAAGACATGCGAGGATGTCTCAGGCGAGTTTGCCAATTCGATTAAGAAGTGCGAGGATGTCTTAGGCGACGTGGCCAAGTCTACAAAATTATCCTGGCGAAGGACCCAACCATATGCAATTGTGAATACTGCAATTGTGAATATCTTCTCGGTGGAGCCCCCTACGGGGCCACGAAACGCACGAGGGGTGTGCCAAAATGGGTGTGCGGAACGCATGCGGGCACACCCACAGGGGCCTTCGGTGGAGCTCTCTATGGGGCCAAGAAACGTGTGAGGGGTGTGCCGAAATGGGTGTGCGGGACGCATGCGGGCACACCCACTGGGACCTTCGGCGGAGCTCCCTACGGGGCCACGGAACGCGTGAGGGGCGTGCCGAAAGTCGAAATAGGAATGATGGTGACGCATGCGGGCGCGGGCACTGGGGCCTTCGGTGGAGCTCCCTATGGAGCCACGAAACGTGTGAGGGGTGTGCCGCAATGGGTGTGGGTGACGCATGCGGGCGCGGGCACTGGGGCCTTCGGTGGAGCTCCCTATGGAGCCACGAGACGTGTGAGGGGTGTGCCGAAATTGGTGTGCGTGACGCATGCGGGCGCGGGTATGGGGTTCGTGGAGCTCACTCTGGAGCACGAGGGGACGTTGTGAGGGGTGTGCCGAAATGGGTGTGGGTGACGCATGCGGGCGCGGGCACTGGGGCCTTCGGTGGAGCTCCCTATGGAGCCACGAAACGTGTGAGGGGTGTGCCGAAATGGGTGTGGGTGACGCGTGCGGGCGCGGGCACTGGGGCCTTCGGTGGAGCTCCCTATGGAGCCACGAATCGTGTGAGGGTTGTGCCGAAATGGGTGTGGCTGACGCATGCGGGCGCGGGCACTGGGGCCTTCGGTGGAGCTCCCTATGGAGCCACGAAGCGTGTGAGGGGTGTGCCGAAATGGGAGTGGGTGACGCATGCGGGCGCGGGCACTGGGGCCTTCGGTGGAGCTCCCTATGGAGCCACGAAACGTGTGAGGGGTGTGCCGAAATGGGTGTGGGGGACGCATGCGGCCGCGGGCACTGGGGCCTTCGGTGGAGCTCCCTATGGAGCCACGAAACGTGAGAGGGGTGTGCCGAAATGGGTGTGGGGGACGCATGCGGCCGCGGGCACTGGGGCCTTCGGTGGAGCTCCCTATGGAGCCACGAAACGTGTGAGGGTTAGTATTTTGTGCCAATGGGTGTGGTTGGACGCTATGCGGGAGCGTGGCACTGGGGCCTTCGGCGGAGCTCCTATGGGAGCCACGAAAACGTGTGAGGGTGTGTGCCGGGCTATGGGTGTTGGGTGACGCATGGGGCGCGGGCACTTGGGCTTCGATGGTGCTCCCTATGGAGTCACGAAAACGTGTGGAGGGGTTATCTGTATTTGTGGCCGGAATTGGGGAGATTTTGGTGGGTGACGCTGGGGCCGGGCACTGGGGCTTCGGTGGAGCTCCTATGGAGCCACGAACGTGTGAGAGATCTGTGCGAAATGGGTAATATGTGGGTGTTGGGTGACGCATATGCGGGCGCGCGGTTCACGGGGGCCTTCGGGTGGAGCTTATGGAGCCACGAACGTGTGAGGGGTGTGCCGAAATGGGTGTGGGTGACGCATGCGGGCGCGGGCACTGGGGCCTTCGGTGGAGCTCCCTATGGAGCCACGAAACGTGTGAGGGGTGCCGAATTGGGTGTGGGTGACGCATGCGGGCGCGGGTACTGGGGCCTTCGGTGGAGCTCCCTATGGGGCTACGAAACGCTGTACTGGGTGGGTGAAACGCAGGGAAGAGGGGGAGGAGGGAGGAGGAGGGGGAGGAGGAGGAGAGGAGAGGAGAGGAGAGCAGAGGAGACGCGGGGCACCGTCTCTTCAAAACGAGGACCCAACACCACAGGATGGTTGGGAAATGCAAGGCGCCATTGTTTCTTTCTGAATACCTGGACTCCTGCTAGTACCTGGACTACTGCCTCCGAAGGCCTCTGAGAACAAAAGTTCCCTGGGCCCTGAGAGGCCCTGCACCCCGATGGGGGAGGAGGTCACGCGGATCGGCCGAGGACCTCTGATAATAAGAGTTTCCTGGGCCCTGAGAGGCCCTGGCCACTGAGGGAAGGCGAGGGGCCACTGGTTGAAGGCATCTCCAGGGCCCTGCTATGATAACCCCTTGCGATACGTCTTGGACCGTCTTGGGTTCTTCTGGAACCTCTCGGCCATGTTGGATTATTATGAAGCTCCCTGGGCCGCGCAGGAGTCGTGGGGCTCCCTTAGTAGAAGTAATAGTTGGAGTAGGAGTAGGAGGAGAGGGAGGAGGAGTTGGAGTAGGAGTAGGAGTACAGGAGTAGGAATAGGAGTAGGAATATGAATACTAATAGGAGTACGAGTACGAGTAAACGAGTAGGCAAGTTGTCTGAAGAATTGCGAAGGTGTCTCAGGCGAGTTGGCAAATGCTTATAAAACTGCGAGGATGTCTCAGGCGATGTGGCCAATTCTATTAAGAAGTGTGAGGATGTCTGAAGCGATTTGGCCAATTCTATTAAGACATGTGAGGATGTCTCAGGCGAGCTGTCTAGTTCAATTCTACAAAGAAATGAAAGGATGGCTCAGGGGAGTTGGCCAATTCGATTTAGAAATATGAAGATGTCCAATGCCAAATGGCTAATTCGGCTAAGACATGTGAGGATGTCTCAGGCGATTTAGCAAATTCTATTCAGAAATATGAGAATGTCGAATGTAAGTTTGCCAATTCTACGAAGAAGTGTAAGGATGTCCCAGGCGATTTGGCCAAGTCTGTTAAGAAATGAGGATGTCGCAGGCGATTTGGCAAATGCTCATAAGAATTGAGAGGATGTCTCAAGCGATGTGGCCAATTCTAATGAAACATGTAAGGATGTCTCAGGCGATTTGGCCAAGTCTGCTAAGAAATGTGAGGATGGCTCAGGCGATTTGGCAAATGCTGATAAGAATTGCGAGGATGTCCCAAGCAATTTGGCAAGTTCTATTTGGAAATGTGAGGACGTCTCAAGCGATTTGGCCAATCCTATCTGAACACTGAACGCTTGAGCTTTGAAAGGGCGGCTGGCACAGGCAGGAACTCTCCTGAGCACTGAAAGGTTGCCCTAATATTGCCAGGACTGTGAAAAAAAAAGGCGAGCTGGGGGGGAAGGAGGGAGAGGGGGAAGGAGGAGGAGAAGGATTAAGCAATGCGAGGATGTCTCAAGCGATGTGGCAAATTCTGCTAAGAAATGTGAGGATGTCTCAGACGATTTAATTTATTCGACTAAGAAGTGTAAGGATGTCTCAGGCGATTTGGCCACTTCTAATAAGAAATGTGAGGATGCCTCCAGCGATTTGGCCAATTCGATTTAGAAATATGAGGATGTCTCAAGCAATTTGGCCAATTCTATTAAGAAAGGCGAGGATGTCTGAAGCGATTTAGCACATTCTATTAAGACATGTGAGGACGTCTCAAGCGATTTGGCCAATTCTATTAAGAAATGTGACGGTGTCTCAAGCAACTTGGCAAGTTCCATTTGGAAATGCGACGACGTCTCAAGCGATTTGGCCAATCCTATTAAGAAATGCGTTGATGTCTCAGGCGATTTGGGCAATTGTATTAAGATATGTGAGGATTTCTCAAGCGATTTGGCAAATTGTCGTAAGAAATGTGAGGATGTCTCAAGCTATTTGGCCAATTCTCGTACGAAACGTGAGGATGTCTCAACCGATTTGGCCAATTCTGCTAAGAAATATGAGGATGTCTTAAGCGATTTGGCCAAGTCTATTCAGAATTGTGAGGATGTCTCAGGCGATTTGGCCAATTCTATTAAGAAGCGCGAGGATGTCTCATGCGATGTGTTTCCTCCTCCTCCTCCTAGCCGCAGGTGCCGGAGTTAACCCTTCCAAGTGCGGGGGGGATATCGTTTCGCCGGAGGGGGGGGGGTTAATTGCTTCATGAGGTTACGCAGGCCCAATGTCATTGAAAACAACTGGTCGTCTCATGCTGATGCGTAAACCCGCGGAGAAGCCAATCGATTTTTCAAGCTGCCAATCCAAGTGGCTGACCTCCAAACACCAAGCCTGTCGCCACTTGGAAACGCGTACACTCACAACGCGCCCGACCGCATCAATGCCGTCCCACTTTGTCCGCAACCCGTGTCAGCCACGTGCGCCGCCGGCACATCGGCTCTCCCTCCCACCCGCTCCTATCGGGGAGACGTAAGACCCGGTTACGGGGGACTCGGAAATCCCCGACGAGGTCGTCAAAAAAATGACGAGGCCGAGCCTGCATTTTGACGAGGCCTCCCGCTGCAAACATCCCACGAAACTCCTCCTCGTCAAAATCCGAGGCGCGGTCGTCAAAAAACGATGGCGAACCCGAGTCCTGGCAAACCCAGGTCTTACGCTCCCCCGATCCTAGAAGAAGAAGCAAGGGAATGAACGAAAACTTGTGGCGCTCCGCGCGGACTTCTTGGAACTGCGCTGGGCCCCCATCCCCGGCGCGTGGAGCCTGCCACGGGCGGCCCCGGAGGCGCCGCCGGGGGGGGGGGGAGCCCCGCGCGGATCCGAGAAGTCCGCGCGGAGCGCCAAAAAGTTCATGCTTCTGGCTTCCTCTCTTCTTCGAGCTCTGCCTCCCACCCGCTGCCCTGCCACCACCGCCACCACCCCCCCCCACGCCTCACAACTCCGCGGTGAAGCCGCCAGGCGCCGCCTGCGCGCCGCGCCACGTGGCTCCCGGCCCCGCGCGGAAGCCGCCGCGGCTCCCCACCGCCGCCGGGTGCCACACGTGCGCCAGCAGGATGACGCGGTCTTCGTCCGAAGGGTTGGACTTAGGTCGGGCAGGTCCCCCTACAGGCGGATTCTGGACGGAAAATAAAAGATCGTCAAGCAATGATCGACAGTGGGCAGAAGTGCTAGACGAATCGTCGCCAGACTATGTTTGGAATGTTCTTGACATATTCCTCCTGTAGAGGGCCGTGCCCGACTTAAGGTTGGACACGTGGTGCACGTAGGAGTCGTCCAGGACGATGGCCTTCCCGACCTCCCAGGCGCGCACCTCCCCGCGGACCTCGATGGTGCTGCCCTCGGGGATGCGCAGGCCCAGGTGCACTGTGAGGCGCGCGTTGTGCGGGCCGCTGTGGGCCTCGATCCGCGAGTTCGGGTGCAGCATGATGAAGCAGGCCTTCCCGGGCACGCCGACGTGATCGAAGCCGACGTCCCCGGTGAGCTCCCTGGACTGCAGCAGGGAGCACGTGCGCGGGGCCAGCCTGCAGACACTCTCGATCCATCGGCCCGACTTCGAGCTCCCAGACTCGGCGGCGTAGAGCATCGCCTCCTCCCAGCAGGGCCTCCCGCCCGGCAGCCGGCGGCCGTGGGGGTCCTCCAGCCCACAGAGCTCCTGGGCGTTCTTGAGAAAATCGATCCCGCGGCGGGTGTGGTACCCGTCCTCGGAGTCGTCTTCAGGGAGCAGGAATGAAGCTGGGGCCTTCGAGCGGGCAGGCAGCAGGCGCTCCAGCTCCTTCAGGATCACCTCGTGGTTGTCCTCCAGCAGTCGCGCCAGAGGGATCTCCGAGGCCTCCCAGAAGGCCTTGGACTCGGCCTGCAGGGCTTTGGCAGGCACGAGCTGGTCGAAGCTCGGGAAGGGCACGGCGGGGTTGCCAGGTCTGCGAGCATGATCGAACAGTTTCTTCGCGGCTTCTCTGTCGCCACGCCGGTGGCCAGCTAACACACCGTTCAACACGGCGTCCTGGAAACATCCCGCGTCTTCCCTACAATGAACAGTTTGCATAACACCATATGCTGCCACCTCTACCGCCTTCCATCGTCTTAGCCTCATCGAGGAGTCTAGGAGCAAGCGCCATGCATACATGGACAGCTGGTCGGTATAGTCTAACTGCCTGGCGAGCGCCTTCGACTCTTTGTACACAGCGGCCAGCGCATCCTTGTCGAGCTCTCCTCCGTCGGGAGGCACAGCGCTGTCGAGCCGCTGCTTCAAGTCCCTCAGCGATGCGAACACATCTTCAGCTACGCCAGCGACGCGACTCGGCAACACGGCCCACAACGCCCACGACGTTGCCCAGGCAACCGCGCTGCATTGACAGCGACAGCCGCGCACTCCAGTAGGCTCTCGGCGCATGAGGTGCAAGCGGCTTGAGCCAAAAAGGCTTGAGCCAATATTGACACATACCAGCTGGGCGCCGTCTTGAGCTGCCTTCTAGGGCTGTTGTGGGCTCATCCGGAGGCCGTCTTCGGTCCTCCTGAGCGTTCTCGGGGTACAGTGGGGGCCCGACCACAAGAAAATCTTCCACCAGAAACCCAACCCTGAGGCCCCAGGACGTCCACTGATTCTCTTGGTGTGGGAGCGTCACGCTCTCCATCGCAAAACCATCGAAGCCTAAGAAACCCATGGCACCCTGGAGGCAAGCAAGGTGTTTCTTGGCATGGGCCTCCACCGTACAGTCGGGGCGTTGACCTAAGGAACCCTAAATAAGGAACGAGGCCCCTTTTTGTTCCACAAGTTAACCTTCGATTGTCCTGTCGAAAACATAAGGAAAGCCTGAGGCAAGCTGTGAAACACTTTAAGGAACGCGGTGCCCCTCCCCAACGAAAAGGGTTCCTTCCTCAGGGCCCCGACTGTACCAACTTGGGGCCGTCTCGAGTTGCCTTCCAGGCCTGCCGCGGGCTCCTCCGGAGGAGACCGCTTCGGCCCCCCTGGGCGTTCTTGGGGCAAGCAGTCCCGTGCGTGCGCTCCGCGGGCCCCTCGTTGGCCAGCCGTGCATCCTTTTGGCGGCTCCCCTCCGGGGCCCTCGTGGGGCCATCTTGGGCCGAACATCGGGGAATGCCAAAGCATACAGTCGGGGCCCTGAAGAAGGAACCCCTTTCGCTGGGGAGGGGCTCGGTGTTCCTGGATTGCTCTACAGTTTGCCTTCTGTTTTCCTGAGGCTGTCCATGGGACATCGAAGTTCAACTTATGGGAGAAAGGGGCCCCGTTCCTTATTTAGGGTTCCTTAGGTCAACGCCCCGACTGTAGATGCAATCGGACTCAGGCCCAAAGAACATCCTTCAAGAACATGAGACCCTCCGTCAGGCAACACTAACAGAACGTCCAAGGGTACCCTCGCAGGATGCTCAAGAACATCCAACAAACGCGAAGAACACTGGGGCACCCTCCGCGGACCGACCTCGATCTTATACCTCGGTCCGCATGTACATAAACTTACGAAGCTGCAGTGCTGCTGACAGATTTGGGTTGTCTGCGGGTCCTATCGGGGACCTCTTTGGAGGGTGCTCGGAGCTTCTCGGGGAACCTCATGGGGCGTCGTCCAAATGTCTTTTGAAAATTCCTGAGGTGTGCTGGCGTCCCCTGGCGCCGCACGAAGCCGTCCGGAGCCATCCTGCAGCTCTCCGTCGGCTGCCCTGGACTGCTTGGGCGTCAGAGTGCGCACTCCACGAAGGCTAGGTCGAGCATGTCCTCCTACAGGCAGATTCTGGAAGAACAGAAACGTCAACAAACATTCCGGAACAGCCAAACAAGAACGGCAAATCGTCACCAGGCTATGTTGTCACAATCCTTGAATAGCCCTCGTGTAGAGAGACATACACGACTTAAGACTGAGGGCAAGGGTGCGGCGGTCCCCCCATGGGCCCGCGGGCGACGGGGTTGTGCGGGCCTTGCGCTGGTCTGGGGCCACGCGCGGGGAACCTGGGGCTGCCTCGGGGGGGAGCTGCGGCCGTCTTGCGTCCAGGGCGGCCCGACGCCTGTCCCGACGCCTGCGCACCGCGATGCCAGTCTGGAGGCATCCGAAGCTCTCCACCGCACAGGGCAAGTTTTTAAGACATCGGATCTTTAAGCATATAGCAGTTTCAATGCATGATGAATGTATGAATAATTCCATGCATGAGCTCATCGTTGTTTTTAATACTAAATCCCTGCATGTTTATACATGATCCGCACGCGGAGCATGTATGAAAACCGGCGCTGTACGGTGGCAACCCAAGAGCGTCCACAAGAAGCATGTGGCGCTTGCGCGCTTGACGCTCGTGGGCCTCCCACGGGACTCCTGGAGACCATCTCGGGCTAACTGGGCGCTCCTGAAGACCATCGCGAGACCAGCTGTGGCAATCCGCGGCCGCCTTCCTCTCCAAAACGCATGACATTTTACCCCAGAACATCTCTGCTTGCTAAGGCGGCGAGATCTATACACGTCCACTGCTCCTGGCCAGGCCCATCCTGGGCCCAAGAGCGGTGTAGATGCCTCCCTTGCCAAGCCAGGACCGCTTCTGGGCCCGAAATGGCCAGGAGCAGCGGATGTGTACAGATCTCGGTGCCCTGCTTGCTTCACCTGGCGGTGGCGCGTTGCTTGCACGCGCTGGGGGCGCAAGCCCGACGAGAGACAGGCAACAAGAGGCACGCGTGCCAATGATCATACAATCACGGACGTGGGGAACACTGAGACATGGAGGTGGCGTGAATATGTGGCAATTTCGGGGAGGCGCGCGAGTGCTGCGACGCGCTGAGGTATGGCGTGAAGAATTTGCTATGCCACTGTGAGCTGGTGGCGTCTCTATGACTCTTCGGGGTCATGATGCAATTGGGCGTCTCTGGGGCTTATTGGGGATCTTGTGTGGGCCCGTCTGGGGCTCTGTTGGGCTGTATTGGGGCAGTATTGACTTGTTCGGGGGCCTTTTTGGCCCATCCTGGGGGGCCAGGGGCGCGGCCGGAGCGGGGGGGGGCACGGTCGGTCGGTCGGAATAGGCAGGCGGGGGCCACGGGGCGGAGGGGAGGGGCACGGTCGGTCGGTCGGAAGAAGCAGGCGGGGACCACGGGGCGGAGGGGCGCGGGGGGGAGCAAAGGGGGCGAGAGGGCACGGCCGGGGCGGAGGGGAGGGGTGGCACGGTCGGTCGATCGGTCGGTCGGAGTAAGCAGACGGGGGCCACGAACGGGGGCGGAGGGGGGGGGGGGCACGGTCGGTCGGCTGGTCGGAAGAAGCAGACGGGGGCCACGGAGCGGAGGTGGCATGGTCGGTCGGTCGGTCGGATGAAGCAAAC